CGCATATCCGCTGTACGTCATCTGCGTCAAGTCGTCTCGCAATCTTTCACGCTAAACCTCGGATGCAGGAGCTTTGGTCTCGTGTGGCGCCGCCGCTCCATTGTAGCGCTTAACGAGGGGCAATTTTTCCCGACTGAACAATATGTCGCATTAGTGCATTGTGCGCGCGACTGCCCGGAGCCGCTATCACGTGATTCCCGCTCATTTCGTGGATGCGTTTCTAGCATTTTGCTCGCTGCAAGATCGCGTCGTTGCTTCGTTCACGCTCGCAACTAATATATTATTAAAGCTTGGAGGCTCGGACAAAACATTCAATGAACCAAACAAGTCTTTTATTTAACTTTCGTCGAATCTCTCCTCTTAATATCACCATTACTACTCACGCATTTTAGAATTGAGATCGAGCGTGCACTTAGAAAGTTCGGTAACTTCGGTTACTATGTTGCTTAGAGCGTTCGATGGCTGGTAGGTTAATCGAAAATACGCCATTGTTGCATTGTTAGATTTTCGCTTCATATATTCTAGATCATTTTGCAGATTTGCAATTCAATTGTTTCGAAATTCATTGGCAGGAATTATGCGCGGTTCTTTGTTTCCACATTTCTTCCTGAATCCCACAGATTCACATGTTAATTTAATTGTAATCATTGCAACTGCCGACCGAGTTTAATTATATCTTCGTAAATTTTCACCCGTCACAGGCGTCATTTCAAATAAATTTTTTAATAACAGAATTATGTGTCGTATGTATGCGGATTTAATGTAGGCTCGAGTACACGACGTATACGGGGCCATATAGAGTTACTATCCTAATGAAAAGAAAATTATACATATGTCTAGTCAGGGTGAAAATATTCCGTAATACTTTATGCATGCGGATACATTTTGAAGCTCAATTTTAATTAAACAAAGAACATAACTGTAATTCTGTTATAATCTGTTTAAGCATTTCTTTCCTTTGTTTTTTTTTTGTTTTTTTTTTTTTTTTTTTTTTTTTTTTTTTTTTGCCATTTTATTAATTAAATTTAAACTTCTTAAGGCCTTTATGTAGAATAATTATTTCATAATTTTCTCTACTTCAAATATTATGATTACATTACATTTAACAAGGCATTTTTTATGTTATTTAGAAGTTATAATTGTATATTTGCAGCTTTTTATAATTTTCAAACGGCCTTTCTCGGATACTGTTACGTATATGATTATTATTGTCATGCTTTATATTATTTTTGAAAATTACGAAACAATAAATGGTAAAAGTTTTTATAGCAATAATTCAATAGTACGAAAAATCATCTTGAATAATTTTCATGTAAAATGTTAAATTATCGAGGATTATAGAAATTGTCGATTAAGAAATATAACTTTATAAAATGAAAAATTGTTACAAGTACGATCTTTCTGAAAAATTACTTTTAAATAATGATAAACAGTATATTACACTATGTTTGAAAATTGAAATAATAAATTTAATGAAGAGAGAAAAAATATAATAATAATAATAACAACAATGAAACTTTATTAACGAATAAGTCTATATTATTAAAAAATAAAAGTCTATGTTATAAAAATGTAAGTAAGAGCGTGCAATAAAATATTTAATAATAATATTTATTCTATGTAATTTATTGAATATTTCTTCTCTATCAGGATAATATAATTATTGATGAAGAGCAAATTTAAAATAACAAGCTTTACGGCCATAGTTTCTTGTTACATACCATATATTTACACGAAACAATATTATCTCCATACTATTAAAAATAATTTTAATTTTTAATTTTTATATCTTAGCATATACACATTCGTGCAATTGTTCTCCAGTGTAGAAATAAAATTTTTCATAAAACTTTACTTAACATCAATTTACATACTGTCTAAAGCTGATAAGGTTTTCTCTTGTTTTTTAATACATTTTTTATGATAGTCTGCAAACAAAAGCACACTTTGCAAGCTCTCTATGTAAAAATAGCCTTCTCTCTTTCATTCCTCCATCCTCTTCTCGACTTCCCTCTCATAGTCTTTCTCTTTTTATGAAAAACGAGACACCAAAGCGTACGCGCTAGTTTCACTAAAGATCAAACATGTAGTTTTAGTATGCAACAAAGCAACGGGAAACTGAAAGCCAAAAAACAGAAACTGAGACAACGGATGTAAAACAATTATCTGCAATCTCTAAGCGGAACAACTCATAGGCATATAATAAGTCGACCAAATGGACGAATGTAATTAAAGTTTTCTAACCCGTTAACAATTTTTCATAAATTTCTTTTTATACAGTTTGTTTTGCTACAACATACTTGCCTACTAAACCACAGAATAAAATAGTAGCGAGAAAAAATATAATTAACAAGCTCATTACGTAAAATTGTCTTTTAATTACCATAACTTTTAGGTAGTTGCTGCATAATGTTATTGTAAATGTAATTATAATTGAATTGCATCTACTAAAATATAATCAATTTGTTATGTTTTTTCTTTTATGTGCATTTTTCTATCGTATTTTCAATGAGCTTTTTATTTCCTAGTTATTTTTAATCAATGAATGAAAAAAGAATGAATTTCACTGGGAACTCTATAGATATTGTTTATATGTTAATCAAATGTAGATGTAATTATAGCATCCGGAATATATAATGAGAATCCAGTAACGTTTATCGTCCGAATTTAATCTTTCTGGAGTGATTTTCTTTGGTTTACGTGGTACAAAATAAATGGTGATCGATATTCGCAGCTCTGACCTACACGAAAATATATAGAATATCCAATAGTAGTGTACACACTGATAGTAGAAGCAGTTTTCTCTCTCCCTTTCTCTAGGTTCTCGTTGATTGACGATTTGCATAGACAAATAAGTTGGCTCTGATGAGGCTTGCGTATGTTTGTAAAGCAGTCGAATAATTGTTTTCAGCCCAGCTTGCGTTGAGTGGACTCCTCGAAACGGCCACTTTTCAATACGTGTGCGCACTGTCTTTCTTTCTCTCCCCCCCCCCTCTGTTTCACTTGCATGCTCTTTTGAGTTTCGCGTAAATGTCGACGAATGTAATTCGAAAAAAAGCGAAAGGCTAAACGAAAAAGCCAACACTTTGCTGGATGAAGAGTGAAAGAGAAACATAAACAGAAAGAGATAAATGAGAGAGAAAGAAAGGAGAGAGGGGGGGGGGGCTTTAGGAAATTGTTTGCATTCTCGTCGCATCCAAAAATGTGAGAGACTTTGAATACGAGGGTACATTCCTTTTTTTCATCTGACTACAAATGTTTAAATAAACTTTTGTCTCGAATTGACAAAGAAAATACCGGCGAATGAAATTATCCTTGGGACGTGCTTTTCAGTGTTTTGAACTAGTTACTCTTTGTCAATCGTTTTTTTACTAAAATTGAATGTGAGTATTTTGCTTTAAAATAACAAAATAAATACCTTTTTTTCAATCGTAATACGATATTTAAAAGACAAGATTATAGAATTTAGTGATTTTTAACTAAATATTATTAAAAGTTCTTAATTCCAACATTAAACAACTTATAAAAATTAAACGGCTTTAATTTACTTAGAAGTGATTATACTTTTGTATTTGTAATTAAGCTTTAAACATTTTTAAAACATATCTAGATATTAACAAAATCTCTTTTAATATTAATGGATACGACACCTCGTGAAGTGTTTATATTAAAGTGGTTGAATTAAGTCATTGAAAATTGTATTTCTAATAATATCATAATATATATATATATTTATGAACTTTATTATCTAAATGCAACAATGATCTTACTCGTATAGATATAAAAATAGATGTCACATTATGTGAGAAACATGTAATAAAATGTGAAATGAAATATATTTCACTATTTTCTATATGTAGGCAGAACTCATAACTGGTGCTTAGATTCTCAATTATTTGAGAAGAGTAAATAAAGAAAATTGTTTGAAAATCGATTTAATAATGTTAAAGTTCTAGATATCTATAATAATAAATATATACGTTTTCAAAATATGTTAATAATAAACAATAAATTTGCATAATATAATTTCTAAAATTGATACATTTTTATTTTGTTTGAAAATAGGTATTTATAATAGTCATTTTCATACATTTTTTTTTTAATACCAATATTATTTTAAAACAAATAAATTAGAGTTTATTGAAATATTACTAGATAATTAATTATTTCGATTTTAATAAAGAATTATATGTATATATGTTACTTTCAAGTTGGGATTTATTAACATGCATAGAGTAATTCTAGATTATTGAAAAAGTTCGTTACATAACTGAAAACATGTTGATTCTATATTACATCATGATGATTAAACAGACTTATTGATTACTAATAACCAGACCAAAATTTCAACTGTCAGCTAGTGAATGCTATTTTGATTAGGTTATATTTACGATAATTACTTTCAATTCATGGAAATCAATAATAGTATTTCTCTATTCAGGTAGAACATATAGTATGCTATTTTGTAATAGGAACAAATAATATCTGAAAAGACAAATTAAAGTATTTTGCGAAGTAAAATACTCATTTACGTTTCAATTAACGGACTCTCTACTTTTGTAGCAACAGTAATTGCTAATAATGTTTAAATTTTTCAGATAAATTTTTCGTCAAGAATACTTATTTGCATGCAATGTTAATATACCATACTGCAATAAGATCGAATTATATTATAATTTAACATATTACTATATTGTAATAATCGACATTACTATGTAATTGTCCATTTATCATTTGTTACAATATTGAATTAATGAGGAATTCATGACCTAAATAAGTAATACCAATACAACAAAACATTCCGAAGATAATATTAATTAAAATATATAAGCGAGCGTTTCAAGTCGGCTTTATTCAATACTTTTTAGAATTGTTGACGGTAAAAAAAATTATATTTACATGTCATCCAATAAATGATAAATAAAGATAAAGTTTTTCAAATATGCTCTCCTTATAACAAAATAATAAGAATGATAACAGTCGTAACAAGCATGTAAAAACTATAAAAACGTCAGATGAACCCTGAACAAATCGCAATATTAATGTTTCATTAATCTTAACAGATTGTTTTGGGAAATTTAACGAATGGGTTCGTAGATTTTTCTTGTTTTATTCAAAAGCGACCAAAAGTATCACACTACGGGACCGACGCCGTAAATCGCTCGACTCCGGTTACAGCATGAAATTCGAGCATAGACAGAATATCGAGACGCATATATACAATAGGCGATGAATAGAGGGAGCCGGGGCACTTGAGCTGTCCTCAACTTCATCATCGTCAATATTGTCGATGCGGTATTCCTCGATCGGCACCGAGAAGTTCCTCATCAGCTCTGACCAGAAAGCCATCCTCTCGGGTAGAAAATTCTCCTCCGTCTCTCGGTCTGTCAAGCGGCCGTTGCCGAATCTCATGAATCGATGGTTCAGCTTGTAAGGCTCCCATTCTGGGGTGAGCTTCGCGCTCGGTACCCTGGACAGCCAATTGCATAAATTAATTACGGTGCTAATGTAGTGTAGAGTTCAATGATAAATAGAGACTTCGTCTCTGCCAATTCTATGCATGAAAGCCCACGGCGTTTTTTCATTACAAAGAGTCGTTATTATAAAATTTAGCAAATAACAGCTTTGAGACTGTGGAACATTGCCTCGAGGTTTATATTTTCATTTTTAGTCATCGAAATTTATTAGCAGGTATTCTTTGGTAACAGGAAACATAGCAAATAAAAAGAAACGTTAAAACTTTCAAGAATTTTGTAATTTTGTAACATTTTTTCATCTTATATCAATGAAAATACCTTTCAACTTCATTCAATATAGAGTCTTATAAATAATATTTATTAAAACCGGAAATTTTATTTTCAATATTACATCCCATATCATTTAAACTTTAAAAAATATCTTTTTAACTTTAAGCTATAAGATGCACCACATCATAAGTATAACAATTTATTTATAATTATGAAAAATACCATATAAAGCAAACATTATGCTAACTTTCAGATATGCTAGAATTCAAAAGAATACAATTTTATTGTATATTCATTTAATATTCGTTAGCAATTCATAATAAATTGTCATTATTAATTGTAAGTAATTAATTCATACATGAGTGATGAATAAATATCCCTCGAATTAGGTTATAATTAATAATTACAACTAATGCAATATTCATTATGCCATTCAAATATTATGGAATACTAATTAAATTTCATTAACTCACAAACATAAATGATTTTAGTTTTTAAAATAGATAATTGTACCTAAGTTATACACAAATATATACCATAATATATTTCAAACTTAACAATTATATGAAATAATATATTTTATAAACTATAATTATTATTTAACATTTGTTATACAAACTATATATCTCTATTATTTATATCAATGTCATTTATGTAGATGTAGAAATTCAATGTTTCATGTATCACTTATTTCTAAATGCAGGTAATATACAACAAATATACGTATCATCAAATTATTTCTATATTAATAAAAATTAAAAAAAATATATTCATATGACTCATTTTCAGCATATAAATGATTTTCTTTCAAATTTATAAATATTTTATTGAATTATTAATTTATTTTTAAATGATTTAATAGTCGATGTACAACAAACATATACGTTCACACACGGTTGAAAGCGTGCCTATATACATACATAAATACGCATAAACATATGATATACGTGCACGGACCCACACAAGCGCATAAAACGTACAAACTTTAATATTAAAAAAATACCAACTAAATATGTTTTATATTTTTATTAAAAATAAATATAAATAACAATTAGAATTTTTTACTATATTAAATAATTGTTCAAGCAAATTTATTGTTAACAGATGATAATGTTTTTAATTTTTCATTTCTATATTGAAATTAAAGTGAGTGAATTTTCATTTCATTTTTTTATTATGTATTTGATTATATTAAATCACAATTTATTCAGTAAATACATTAATATTGTTCGTATATGGTTGAAATTATGATAAAATTGATAAATATAATTCATAACACTCGTTTAAGTTTTTTTATAAAGGCATAAATCTCTTTAAAATTATTTTAAACATATATATATATATATATATATGCTTTCATATGAATTATCTGGAAAAGTTTTTTTATTTAAAAAAAATTAGCAACAACAGTGACAGCAGCTAATTTTTATAAAATCTTGTTATGAGAATATATTGAAATTTCATAAAATTTTTGTACTATGTAATATAATTAAATTTTCGAGTAACTCTTCTTATTAATAATTCTTTAGTAACTATGAAATAAATTGCCCTGAATACACAATTAAAATATTTTTTTCGGATATATTTTTGTTTGAGTTCGCTGAAAAAAATAATTTTATAAACATAACAAAAATGTAAAAAATTTCATTTACATAATGCGATTTATACATATACATATATATATATATACATAATGCGATCTTAAAGTCGAATGGTTATATATATGATTGTATTTATTATTAATAATTATTAATATAAAATGCGATCAAGCAGTTGTATTCTTTTTAAAAACCTTATCGTCTAAAAGCTTTCAAAAGCGAAGACCCGAAAATATAATTTTGTGATTTGAAATAAATTTCATGGATTCGCAAAATCATAATCGTCAATAATGATAAAATACGAACTTACCCTGTTTTCATAAAATTCATCCACATTTCACACATCGTATTAATTATTGCTTTGTCACCCAAAGTATTAAATAATTCTAAATCTGCGAATTTCGTATTTAAGTACGGAAATACATAATTTATGTCATCGTTATGGGCAGCACCTGCATATAATTTTAAATAAAATAATTAAATAATAATACTAATATTAGTCATTTTAATAATATAATGTGTAAATACTATTACCGAATCGAAATGGAATACCCCATCGAAAGGTATTACTAAATGTTCCCTCATACGCAAATACATAAAAGTACAAATTTGAATTCATATTATTGATTTGTTTTTGCATAAAGTCATAAGTTGACCATGATATCAGTGCATCTCCAACTAACTGTAAGAAAATTTATACAATAATTTACTATATTACAGTTATAAATATGCATACATTCGTTATGTATATATGCGCGTGTATGTATGTGTATAATAGACAAATATTATTACAAATGTTATTAATAGACGATTGTTGATCTCATAGTGCTGTTATATATTAATTGATTATAATGAAATTATATTATTAATATTGTTTATCTGTAAATAATCAGCTGTTGTGGAACAGTGTCAACTTTTTACAAAAATTGTCAATTCTCAGAATTATTAAACATCAATAACAAACAAATAATACACCTGTTATTATAAATAATAATGTCATTAAAATGAAATTCACATACTTACACACGCTTGTACAGATACGCACGCGCGCGCGCCCGCGCACTTTTAAATTGTATCATAATCTATGAAGGTTGAAGAAGTGTCATTTACATATACGAAAGTGGAAATTAGTTAATTATTAAATAATGGATATTATATTATATTTAATTTAATATTGAAAAGTATTCTTTATATTATTTGACTTTTATAATCTAGTACTTTTATTCTAAAATTCTAAATATTATCAATAACCCTTTTGTTATCATTAAAATTTAAATTTTGTAAATTATATTAAAAAATATCTATTGAATCTTTTAAACTTGTAAGAAATATATAATACATAAATTTAAATATTTAAACGTGTAAATTTTAAACACACATAATATATTTTATAAAATATATTTATATAAATTATTCTTATTTCTACTTGCCTGAGTGATATTCATTTCGAAATTCGCCAAAATATCACCCTTAAAGTAAAATTCCCTGATAGCTTCGCTTACTGCTGTGACGTTATTGATCGTATTTTTCATCTCCAAAACGTACGGAACGAGAAGATCTTCATAATCCTGTATGAGTTCATCTTTGATGTCACTATTAAGAAGTAAATCTGAAATGAATATATAAGACAGTAAAATACTATAAGTATAATTGATTGGGCATTTAAGAAAAAATAAGACGTAAGAAAGAATTAATCAAAGTGGAACAAAGGGAGAATGCGAGTGACGAAGAGATTTCGGAGTTAGAAAAACAATGTGAGTGTTTATATGTCCGAATCAAACTAAACAGACATATCACAACACAAACTTATCTTTATTTTTCAACTTAAACATAATTTTTGATTTATAACTAAATAAAAAAATTTAGAAATTGAATTTGTATTAATTTCACATTAACTAAACAACATCAGTCATATTTTATGTGGATAATTATTAACAATATCCGTTATATGTATTTGAATGTATAAAATACTTTTACATATTGTAGTTGAATTAATTATAATTTTTATCAAAGATAACAACTTTAATATTAATAATAATTTTATATTCGAATATATTTCGATATTATACATAATTCACAGTTAATGAATTAAACTTTTTTTTAAAACTGAAATTTAATATAGTAAAGTAATATGCTGAATTAATTATCTAAAAAATTTTATTACATTTATTATTATTGTTTTTTTTTCAATCCTTAATATTTAAAAATAATTGTCAGTTTCTTTTTCAATAAATATTAATTGGTTCTTTTTGTATGTCTTATAACATTTGAATTTTCTTTTTATTTGAGTTATTTTATAAAAAAAATTGCTTATCATATTTATAAAATTCATTGAATAGCTTAAAGACTTTGCATGTTTTTTTAATGATTTCAGAAACAAACACGATGAAAATGCATAATGATGCTAATATATACATGCTAATAATAGTATTGTATCCTGTTAAAAGTACTTTGCATTATTCTATTTTCTTATGATACCATCTCTAAAGCACTTAGTTTTTAAAATATTAATAGATACACCATCATCATATTTCTTTGAAGCCATTTCTTGAAACCTATTTTTTTTTTGTTTTGTTTTTTTTTTTAAAGTCACCTGGCATTATTTTAAAAATAATTTGTCAATAACAATTTTATTATTAATTAAATGATTATTTACTATTATAAGTTTATATAAAATATAAAATCATATGAAAATTGTTGTTTTCGATAAAAGTTATAAATGATTCAACTACAATATGTAAAAGTTTCTTATACGTGTAAATGAAAATAAAACGAACATTATTAACGATTATGTACATAAAATATGACTGATGTAATAAATACTTATTTAGTTAAAGTGTTTAGTTAATATGTACCATAAATTAAATTAAAAATTTTTTTTATTTAGTTCATAAATTAAAAATTATCTTTAATTTAAATAATGAAGATAAATAATTTTATCGATTTACTGTTTCATGTTGACTCGGACGTAAATACACTCTCATTATATTTCTCACTTGTGAATCTATTCGTGTCTGTTATTGTTTAATATAATTAAATTTCCAAATCCGAGGAACTGAGATCCCATTGTAAAGCAAGTTTTTGCTATAATGTATAGGCATACATCCACACGGATTCCCTCGCATACGCTCGCACAAACATATTACTTTTCATTATTTCATGTGAACACGGCGTTACATTAACTATCTGTATTTGTTTGAACAATTTCATCGTGTAAGTAGATAAAACTAGCGTTTTATTATCCTTCGTGATTTCTACTTCCATTGGATCATAGTACTGTTTTGCGTTTAAGAATAATAATAATAACAGACCACATAAAACGATGCTTCGATTATTTATTATTAAAATATGGATTTAGTTACTAAGTATTAACCATGCAAAAGTAATTAATTTGCATATCGTTATTAAAATTGTAAGCCCATAAATATGAAAATAAATTAAATGCTACGTGACTATAAGAAAGTTGAATTCTAAAAAGTAATGAATGAAAGTAAAAAGAAAAGGATGAAAGCCAACACCAAAAGTAGAGTAACAATGGGTTTGATCTGTCTCCCATTTGGAATCCGTTGGAGAAATAACCTATGCAAATACCCAGGACACGATATTTCCTTGCGTGACGGGAGCAGGAGAGGAGATGGTGCGGGGTTGGGATGATGGTTCGGTGCATTATTTACCGGTCGTCTTCCACAAACCCTCGTCATCCGTGACTCCGATTATCCAGGGCAGGTCCCTAAATAGGCTCTCGCTGAGGCTCCGCTCCGGATGCACCGTCAGGATAGCGCCCTCGGCCTCGGCTTCCAGAGTCGGGGTGAAAATTAACATCGGATGTCGCTGCCACGCGTGCTGCGATGCAGGAGCAGATTTACACTCGGATGCCGCGTTCTGCGGGGATATGCTTCGCCGATAGCGCATGCAATTATTGTTAATGATATGGGGAGGGGGGAGGCGCTAATGAGCGCGCGAGGCAAGGGAATTTCAGTAGCGAGGAAAGGGCGAGGTGGAGATTTTAAACGCGCAAGCTTGGGTTCTCGCCACGATATTTGGCTCTGCGTGTCTTTTGATGAGGGACTTTTGGTATGCGAACGAAGTGCAAGTTACCGAGTGGTGCGATTAAAGCATCGAAATTCAGCTGTCCTCGCAAAAACTTCCAATTCTCCTGGTTTTTAAGACTTTATTTCCTCATTATCAGCGTACTCTTGATTAAAATTACGATATATTAAGTGCAATTATTCCATTATATTTTCGGGATAAAAAAAAGAAAAATACAAATAATGCATATTCATAGGTGAATAATAGCACGTAAATACCAAATGATTTAAAATTATTTATTAAATGGCAAGTAAATTGTAATAAGTGTTAGGAAACCAATTTCAACATAGTCTTTTAAAAACATTGATTCGATATATTTCATTATTCTATTATCATTTTAGTTCAATTATTTATTTATTTTTTCTTTTAACATAATTTTGATTCTATCGAACTAGGTTGAAAAATGCGAGAAATAATGGCATTGCTCATAATGCTTAACCAAATACAAACTTACGTCGTCTCCTTGGTCAACGATTTTTATTGCTTCTATGCCTTTCATACAGTCTATCATCTTCTTGTCGATGTCCTCGGACGAATCATCGAAAACTGCTATCTCTGCTCCATAATCTCCACTGCCCAGATCGTCAAAATAACCGATTTTATTCGTACAACCCACTAGTGTCGCCACGTGTATCGATGAATTTCTTATGTTTTTTCTAGTTTGAACGGACCAATGAGACGTTGCTGTTCCGCTCATTGTAATTAACTGTACATTGTATAATTTTTATAACGTCATGGATATGTTATAGTTTCACAATTATTGAACATTAACAAAAATTTTAGGTATTAGGCAATGAGTTGCAGCAGCCAATTGATAATTAAACTATGCCTCAGTAAACGAATTACGATTTAACGAAAATACAAGAATGGCTCAAACGTATGAGAAACACGGCCAGTACTGTCCCTTATAACGCTTACTCAACCTCCCACAATGTCTACCGGCAATGTATAGTGGCTTATACATGAAAAAAAAAATTCAAGAGTTATCTTTGGCAGGAGTCCCTTATAATAAGATATTGAAAAAAATTGTTAAAAAACACAGCAGTGTATGGAAGAGTACTGAATATCAATCGAGTAGTCTAGAGTATTAATGGAAAACCTTGTGGAAGAGTCCCTCAGACGCGTTGATCCTTGCGGCGATAATCTGAGCGGCTACGGCCCCGGCGTCGTGACCGGCGAGCGTGACAGCCTCGGCATCTCCGCCAAAAGCCCCGATGTTGTCGCGGACCCAGGCAAGCGCCAGCACAATGTCCTTGAGGCCGTAGTTGCCGGGCGTGACATTGCTTCCTGTGCTGAAGAAACCTGCGGGCACATAGGAGGGGCGGGCCCCAAATTAGTATCTATGCGAGCTCAACATCGCGAAGGCCGATTATCGCTTGGGACTCCTCCGGCTGCGGCCGAATTAGCGGCCAATCGCTACTGACGCCCAGTCCCATTACCCAGTCCCATTACTACCCCTACTTTACCGTGATCGCGCGCCTCGAATTTACCTTAAGAAGCCGAATTAGCTCGTCGACTACTACGGCCTTCTTATCGGCCTCGCTTAAAAAGTCCGTGAAATCACTTGTGAGCTGAGCGGATAGGAGAGGATGATTAAAATAACGTAATTGAAAACACGCGGAATTATATAAATAATGAAATGGAGTGTTGGCATAAGGTTCACCAGCGTTCGAGCACTACTGCTATAGTGTGTGTGTAATGTAATACCAATTTTAATTTATAAGATCTACAGAAGTTAAAATATCTATATTATATCAAAAAGCAACACATTTGTTGCTCTTTCTATGCACGTTAATAGCGACTCCCGTTATTCTTCTCCATTCTTGTATCAAATTTCAAATATTTAGATTTTCATCTCTTCTTCCCTAACTCCTTCCCTACTTTTGCACATTTGAACCATTTACATTTCGCTAATAATGCTTTTTAATTGCTCTATTAAAAACATATTTTATCAAAATTCTTCCATTCTTCTAAAATTAAATTAAAGATGAATGGTATTTTAAGAATTTTAAAATTAATAAGAAAATTATTTTACACATTTCGTAAATAATGCACGCTATTAATAAAATATAAATATCATTTTAATCTTTAAATTTTGAATGAAAAAAATTTATTTTTCAAATTCATTATGAAAATTTATAAAGAGAGAATATATTATATTACAGAGTTCATTTAAGTAATTAAAATATAAAGCTGGATGTATAAAGCTAAATCACTCTATATATTTCTTTAGAATTCCACTCTCTTAATTAATAAACCTCACCCATTATTAAATACAATTTCTTGCTCACTAAATCCTTCGAAATATTACATAAAAATTCATTTGAAGTATTAACGAATATTTTTACAGTTTATATCCTCACAATTGTATATGAGTAAATAAAAATGTATTTTTGGCTTATACATATAACAATGTTATATAAATACATAACATAGAAAAAAGTTATCCATCAAATATAATTGATAAATTAATGACAAACTAATTTTTATTATTATTTGGAGTCGTGCACATATATTCATTAATTTATAAAATCAATACACTATTTTATATTAATGACTTTTATCGACTTCTTTCAGGTAATTTGATAACGTATGTATATCAATTTTAAAAATGATTATATTATTAGTTAAGTTTCCTTGAAATTTTTCGGCAGCCTTGATATTTAAACAATATATATAAAAAACAATTTTTGTTTTATTAAGAATAATGACACTTAATTTCTAACATTCATTTATAATTTTGATATTTGATAAATATATATGATAGTATATTTAATAAATTAATTTACTGATTTCTTAATTTAAATGCATATGTATTTTCTTCATTAATTTTCTACGACAAATAATGAATTCATGATTTTTAAAATAAACTTAGAAATTCATTTTTATATAATAATCCATTACATTATTCAAAATGAGAAAGGAATAATATAAATTTTAATTCAATTGTCCCTAATTCTTTTAAAATATAATCGATATATATATTGTTATTCGTATAATCTTAATATAAACTTCGAAATAAAGACATATTATCAATGCATTAATTTTATTTACTTATTCTTTTGTTATACAATTCATACAATTACAATTAAAGCATATACAGTCATTTTAGTTCGTCATTCCGTATTATAATTGTTTATTAATTAACAAATTTCTCTTCGTTTTTGTATAGAACAATAACTATTCGCTTAATATCCCTTTGACCTTTTTAATAAGATATTTAACATACAGATATGTAGGTTTTTAACAAAAATCTCAGCTATTTTTTTATTCAAAGAGAAAAACCAAACCTTTAAGAAATGAATTTTAATCAGGCTTTGTGAGGTATTTTCCGGTATTTACCAAAGCTTACTCGAAATTCATTTCTCCAAAGTCTAACCTCTTTGTTAGTGCTTTTAGTAAAGTCTTTTACTAAACTTGTTTAATGTATTTTCACTTCTACCCTTTGTAAACTCAAGCCTGATGGTGATAAATTTTCGTCATTGAATAGTAATTTTTTAAATTAAAATATATTTTTTAAATAGAATTCGAAAATATGACGTAGAAAATAGAGAATCATAATAAGAATATTTTTAACAAGTAATAAATAAATAATAACTGAATATAATCACTAAATTTCAGGTTTATAAGCGGAATTAAAATTAAATATTATTATAAAATACTCATGTAAAATATTGACCTAATAGTACAAAATATTTAATTGAAGCAAACCTTAAATACATAAGAACAAAATTTGTTATTAATAATATTTTATTCATAAATGTAGAACTACCTAACTGTTAATGGTATTTTAAACGTTAAATATGTATAGAATGTTTTAATCTCCGATAAATATAAATTTATATTTTTAAATAAAAAATATACTTATCTATTTTGTTACTTATAAAATTTAAAAAGTATAAATAGATAAAGTTACATTTAAAATAATAAATACGATAGGAATCGAGAATATGCAGTAAATATATAATAAATATTATTAATATTGTATAAGCTATATAGATTATTATTAATAATTAATAAATATTATTAACATTTTATAAGCTAAAGTATAAATATGTATTTTTTTTTTATTGAAATATCATGAAATGAAAAGTCATATGCATCTGAATAATTACTTTAATAGAATCTAGCAACTAAATTATTATGCGTACGAATAATCGAATTATTAATAACTATTACCCTGTTATTATGTTAATTTTACAAAACTTCTCATATTCATAAATTTCTCTAAACTACATTAGAATTTTTAGAATTTTCCTATAAAAAATATGTAAATGTAAAGTTTTCCACATAACAGTATCAAGTTTGTGTATAATCTTTAGAAAAAAATTTAATTAAGTATACGCTAATTTCTTTTAAATAAAATTTATTGTAAAAAACGATAAAGAAAACACGGTTAATATTTATATAATTTATGCTTGGATTACGTGATCTTACGCAGAATATGTAAATTGGTACTGTTTATATGCACCTTAAAAATATTATTTTTATAAACAAGACAAAATTTGCATTTTAAAAATATTTACATTCATTGATAAAGATATACTATAGATAAGCCATGTCTATAAAAGCAGAGAAAACATTATTCGAATATCACATGAAATAAAGAGTGCTTAATCATTGTATTGTAACAATACTTCTTATAATAAAAGGTTATTACCCGATATTAAATTTGTTTTAATTGTACATTAATAATTCCCCTCAAATTTCGTGTATTTTTCATTTCTTTTCACAATACTATGAGTATTTATTTATGTAACAGCATAATATTTATTGATTGAATAAAGTAATTCAAAAATACATTAAAAGCTATATATAACTATAAGTAATTGGCATTTTTAAAATAAATATTCATCTTATAACACTGAGTGTTTAATAAAAAGTACATGTCTTTAGTATATAAATATCTATTAACTTATTTACTTTTATTACATATAATTATAAGAATTTAATTAATTATATAAAATATATCTTTGTCTATTTATTAATAGTAATATTAAATGTCTTAAACATACTTGTGTAATATAAATCCAACTCATTATATTATTTAATTTTCATCAATCCTTATTAAAATTACATAAATTCATTTTGTTATTAAAATAGCGACGATTCATAAAACTTGAAAATTAAAATGAAATTTTATCAATTTTTTGATTACTTAATTTTATTTACGAATAATTAAAAACTTACTTATCATAAATGTTATAATTTGAAATACTGACATTTTACAAAAAATTTATTATTATTATTTTTATTCATTATTTACTATAAATTGAACTATAATTATAATTATAATTATAAAAATTATACTATAAAATGAATGATATTAATATATTTATGATAATTAAAAGAAGTATTTTAATTTTAATACTATAATGTTTTGTATAAAATTGTGTAGAACTGACAATCTCGTTAATACAAAATATTTTACAAGTAGGTCGCGTTATACTAAACTAATAACATGTCAGTTCAATATCATTATAAATTCCTGGAATATTTAGTTTGCAAATTTATTTTAGAATGTTTATCTATTAGTTCAACTATCACGATCATTTTTTACAGTCTGAAATGTTAATGTAATATATTCATATATGAATCATACTGTCATTTTCGTTAATAGAAAAAATTCACTGTAATAAAATACTTATACAAGTAAATTTGATAATTTCTAGGCCATTCCAATTAACTTCTTTTCCGTATCCATGCGCCTTGTCAAACTTAATACCATTTTTGTCATACATACTAATAAACGCCACTTACCTAATACATTAAGCCGATAGTTCATCGTAACTAGGATGATGTCGTAATCCAGCAAATACGTAGGCGCGAACAAACTGCTGTTGCTACTTCCTGTTCTAAAACCGCCGCCATGGATAAAAACTAAAACCGATAGTTTTTGTTGTTGTATATAGAGCTGATCTTTAGATATCTGAAAAATTAATATTAATACCTTTGAATAAGTTTTTCGTGTTTCTGAGCAATCCAAATTTTTTCAAACAAAAAATAATTAAGTCTGCATAATATAAGCCTTATTTATGTAATATCGAATGAAAAATCTTAACATAAATTTTCACATTAACGGATAATAAAATGATAAAAGTGTGAATTTTAAATTAAAGTCGTATGAAAGCATATTTTAGGTCTAAATACTATTAATGGGCCATATAATATTTTATACTGAACGATTGATTGATATAAAGAAAATAAAACTTAATTTTAATAATAATAATTTATAAGTAATATAAATTTAAGTCGAATGATGTAAAATTAAGTATATATTTTCAGAACTAGCGGAATATTTTAATATTTAGTTTATTTAAAGATGATCAATAAATAATGAAATCAAGAATTTGTTACCAAACTTTAATTTTTATCAATAAAATTTATTAATAATCAGGTGCTTCTTCTTATTCATTTTAATATAATTATTTTGTTAACTTTTATTTTTTACAAGCTTTATAAAATTAACTTACGATCTTTGAAAAGTTTATATATAAGTTTAATTGTGTGAACATTTATTTTATCCTAAATATATTTGAATCATATTTTATTGCTGCTACATTTTTATTTTACCTTTTAAAATTTTTGAAATTTAATAAAAATCTTCAAAACAAACAGAAAAGAAGTAAAATATTTCCCAAGGGTATTTTGTAAGTTTATTTTACCAACGTTTAAGATTATTTTGAATTTTATCTGGGCGATTATATTGAAAATTTGTAGATCGATTTTGAATCGGAAACTATTAAAGACGTATTATTTGTAGACATACAATTTTTATATCAAGAGATAAAAATTGATCAACAAATATGTATTTTTACTATTTCAAAATGTGGTTATAGTGAATAAATATGTATATATAAGTAAATTTTGTGCCTGAAATTAAGTTAAAATATCAAAATAGTTCATTGATAATAATTTCTTTATTTCTATGACAAATTTAGAATCAAAATAAATATCCTGAATTTATATTGTATTTAGAAAATATAAATAAAATTACTATAGCTAAGAGATATTGTATTTTCAAAACAATAAATATTGTATTTTAATGCTATTGGTTATATAACCAATGGTTAACCATATTAATACTACAATACTAATACTTTTTATAAAACAGTAAATTACAAAATTTCATTCTCATATTACGACTTACTTTTATTTTTACTGGCGAACATTGCTTTTACTTTTAGAATAAACTTTTATTTAAAATAAATAAATAAATGTATATATTTGTTGAATATATTTGTTGAAATATATTTGTTGAAGAAATGTAAAAACTAATTAATGTTTCCGATGTCGGTATTTCCCAAATATTTTAATAAATATATTTTAAGTAACTGCAAATTTATACGCTGACATATGTGTTTTCTTTTTTTAATAACTATATTTTAACATTAATCATAATAATCATAAACATAGAAAACATACATTGTATTTATAAAATTCTATTCGATATTTTCCATTCAATGACATTTATGCTATGAATACCTTTTACATAATGTATGTATGTATTATTCATTATATGCACATGATGTAAGTTTATTTTATAGTATATCATGTAGCTTATATTTAAAATAAATATTCTTAAATGCAGTACCGTAGGTGTATAAATATTAAGAAATAAACAGTCCTCGTTTCCAATAATTTCTTTTGTTGTGCTTTTTTGTAAGCACATTGATCCATCAGTAGTTGCGTCCAAAGTACCATTTTTCCATTGTTTGGTCCATGGACGAGGATTCTGAAAAAGTTTTAATTTTCAGAATTTTTCGAGTTAATAAAGTTATGAATAAAATTGAATACGAATAACTGCTAAGATATATTGATAATTTATATAAGTAAATATAATTAATTTAAGTTCGCGCCATAACTCATTTTTTATGTTAAAATATTTTGGAATAAACACTACTTGAATAAAATAATACATTTTACATAGATCATATTTGTTATCCGCATAACCTGATTTCTTAATTGGCTGATTTCATTAAATTGTATTCATTTCTTAATTGGATTATTTTTATTGTTCTATTAAAAGAGTAGATATGAGTGAAAAATGCAAATAGCATTTGTCCGTACCCTTTTACATTTATCCCAATAAATTTCTGAAATTAATTAATTTAATTTTGAATTAAATACACACGCATTTAATTTCAAATCAAACTCTATTAATAAAAATATTATTAACCTCTCGATTAACTGTATTGAAATTGAAAAATTGTAATAAATTTTTATGTTATTCAATGTAAGAAATGTTAATTAGTCATGTACAGTAGCAAATTTATCGTATTATTACTGGCAACAACTAATATATGATTACTAAAGCATGTAAAGGTTATTGTTAAATTATTTCTATTAAATGTTTCAATAAACTCAGTCATAAATTGATCATGAATATGTATGGACGTACGGAGACTTGTCAGAATGAAGATATTTTTCATTATAAGAAACTGAATAAGCAAACACAAAGTTAAATTTATTTTGAAACTAAATTTATTCGCATTTTTAGATATTGATAGTGAAAAAATTATTATTTTTTTAAATTAACTTCAAAATAATGAAAGAGAATATCTATTTTATATCCATATGTTCAGTTCAGAGTTATCCGATATTTTAATCATAATTTTTTTTAAACTGTAAAATTAAATATTAACTGTTTAATATAATGTTTTGATTTGACTTTGATATGTGCAGATTTATATTTTATAATTACAAAAATATAGAAACATATTGGACACATTGATACTTTCAAACATAAAAAAGTACATTTATTATCATTAATAAAAAATTTCCATATATTGGCTATACAATTTTATTTGTTATAAAAATAAAATATTTACGATAAAATTAATACGATACATTATAAATTATACTTGTATAATACATATATAATCTATATTAATATGGGTCTTATCAAGTCTCGATTCTTAAAATACATATTTTGATTTGGAATTATAAGGGAATATAATAACAGACCAATATTGTCAATATTTAAAAGTGATAATATTTATCGTTGTATACTAAGGGTGTAAAACGTTCAAATAAACTACGCTTCAGCATTACTTTTATTTCCGCTCGACTTTCTAAAAATTTCTGATTTCATTTATTAATTTTTGGTATACACTCGTTCGGTACATACTTGTCAATGATATCCAGATAATAATATAATACAGTTTTTAATATTGATACGAGCATTACCTCAAACCTCAATTCCCCGATCGGCGGCTCGGCGTAGGGAATTCCTAGAAAGCCCGCGATTTCAAAGCCCTTTGTTGTCCGTAGCCAAACACCGCGAATTGGGCCAAAATTCGTGTTAACTTCCGGTTCTTCTGCAAAACTCGGCTCACTTACAGCTAAAAGAAAGGCAAAGCCGATACAAGGCACATTCCTCTTCATCCTCCTCTGTGGCGATGATGCACTCGCGTTTAAAGAAGCTCGGTTTGTCTGTGGAAGCGTCAGTTGAGCTGTGAGGCTGCAGCAAATTATTATAAATCTATTCCATATTTATTTAATTTTTGCCTGATAAATGGGACTTGTATTTTTCAGTGGGATAAAAGCAGTCTGATGAATATCTAAACGACATCGTTTATTTATACATTAATTTGCATTAAGAACTGTACTGAGTCATTTCAATACGAAAATTTATATTTATTTTTTTTTTATTAGTGTGTTATGTATTTGACTCGTATTATTGTAGCGTAAGTTTAATTTATTAATAGCGCCCGTTTGTCTCCCAATTATTAATATTGTTAAATGTAAATAATAAATTATTTACGTGTCTAAATGCAAGCATTATTAACGTTTTCAAAAAAAAACTATTAAATCAAATGCATTCATCATTGGATAAATATTTTAAAATGTTTATATTATTCAATGATTTAAGAAGATATTATATAATTTTGTAAAAACAATTTTTCCCATCTGATGAAACTATTTCTAGAAGAAAATAGTAAGACATATTTACAAAGCGAATAATTCAGAATTTCTATTATATTACATTATTTATATTATAAATTAGAGTTTCATTTTTAAATGACATGTTCGTGTTAAGTTTGACAATTTTATATTGAATCAAAAATAGTTTAGTACGTTAAATGTAATATTACTTAACTACATTCTTTTTGTTTTTAATTTAATCCATACGCGATTTAGAAGTAACTACAAGAAACCTTATATAATTTACTATCTTGTGTTTACCACTCATAGATATTTTTTTTTTTTTTTTTTTTTTTTTTTTTTTTTTTTTTAATTCAATTCAGTGCGCCCGATAAGATAAGATAGTTTGGCATTAAAAAGTGTATAGTAATTTAGTTAGCATTTATGATCATTCAGTGATATTCGTGTTCAACTAAGAAGTATATATTGTATTTATATGAGAGTAAGAATAAAAATCTTAAAAATTTGTTATGATTAAAAGTCGAAAAACACAGTTTATAATTTTCTATTAATGTATTTGTAATTATTTTCAAACGCACATAATCAATATGGATTAATAGTCATTATTATATAAACTTGAAGAGTTATGTTTTCTTCAAATTTATTTACAGCCTGTTATAAGGTAATTATAGTATGTAAAGCAAACTTTTTATTAAAATAAATATATGAACTATCGAAATATTTAAGATAAAAGTATAGATGTATAACAATAACAATAACAATAACATCAAATTATATATTCTCGAGTTATGGCTTAAGATAGTAAATTTTATTTTAAAACATTTCTTGTATAGATATGATCTACATTTGATTTAAATTTAGATCTCGTACATTTCGTATTAATTAAAAGAAGAAAAATATTTCCTTCAAGTATTCAATTATATTCATTTTCATGATAGTTTAATATATAATTACACGTTACTTATTACATTAAATACCAATTCTATTTATTTTATCAATAACATATCGTGTGCATATTTTAAATTAAAAAATAACGAATCTTTGATATGATTTATAATTTATTATATATTTGGCGAATGAAGATATTTGGCAAATTAATATAATTAATGTAATTACCTTTTTGTAATAGTAAAATAATTATCACCATTAAGTGTGTTTTGAATGTGAAAGTATAAATTTTGAATAAAAAAAATTACGATGTTTATAGAAAGTACACGCCATTTGGTTTAATGTACCACAATTTACATAATACAACAATAAATAAATATTGTTGTTGTTATTGTTATTATTATTATTATTATTATATAATATTCTATGGTATAAAATGTATATATATATGCTATGGTAATGTGTTCAATGTTAATCTACTATCTTAGTTTATTAGCGATATTGCTTGCAAAAATACAAACAGCAACGAATCAACTGTATGAAAGGATTCGTTTAAACTTTAATCGACTTGCCATATATCCAAATTTTTTTAGATTATTACCAATTCGCAAGCCTGAATATATGAAAATATAAGAGGAAAAATTATTAAGCCAAATTAAAAGTGTAACTAAACGTGAGGAACAGTTGGCTAAAATTTGCACCCGAGAAATTGCGTATTATAACACATATACATATATTTCACTTTCATAACACTAAGGAGCAAGGGAGCGCTGAAAATTTAAAAGGTTAAATCGACTCTAGCGAACTTCGACTCACTGCACGGGCTTACACAAAACTCAAAGGAAGCGGAAACGTGTCGAAAAATAAAGGAGACTAGCAACGACTGTTTAGCAGCAGTGCGAACAATCGAGCGAGCGAGCCGCGAAATCAAACTGTGGCCTCGCGACCATACACAAAGTCACGGTGCGCTCGCATTTAAACTCAATTGCTGGAATATTTGCGCCGCCTGAGGCACTGTAAACACGAAACTGACATAGCGCTCCACTTTAATCAATCCATCCTTGTCCCTCGCATTATTCCGATCTCGGCAAAGCGATATAGGCGCTGCTGCCTTGTGTTGACTCGCGAGTATAAAAAAACCACCACCGCCATAAATAAGTGCATGAATTTTCTCGTCGTTATCAGTTATTTGTCGTTTGATTCCATAACTAATAAAACTTGTGTGAATCCCCCCCCCCCTCGCTTCTTTCTTCTCGTGCAATGAGAATCGCTTGCTCGTTTCTCTTTTCTCCTCGGGCACACTCGATCTTGCAAAGTCAAGCGCACACGATTCTACTGCCTCATTGTGTGCCAATACTTATCTAACCTTTCAATTAAATAGTATTATCAGTTTGTCAAAATAATGAAAATATTTTATATCTTATTTCAGAGTCTGAAAGACAATTCTGCTTCTTTTAACGATAATTGATGTAAATTAAGGCTCGAAATGCAGCTTTAACAAATTACATTAGTCATTTATCAAATACAACCTAAGTATATAAATTCCATTTAAATTTACAGTCTAGATTGAGTAGCTCATCGACATATTATTCATGCAATTATTAATGAAAAAAAGAAAAAAAACAGGAAGAAGAAGAAGAAGAAGAAGAAGAAGAAGAAGAAGAAGAAGAAGAAGAAAATATTGATGCATATTCTATATGTAATACACATAAAATTAAACGAATGAAAGTTCGAGGACGTATCTAATGTAAAATATTGAAAATGTGAAGATAAAAAAGTTCGTTTTGCAATTTCAGGGTATTTTCAAACTTTGACCTTGTGTAAATAAATGTTTTATTAATGGATGGTTAGACTTTTAAGAGATATGTAAATAAGTGATTTTTCACAACAATACCTTCGAGCAAATATAGTTCCGTTCCAAACCGTTAGTTTACCCTCGCTTCTCATCTGTTTTTTACTTGTAATCTTTTTCACGAATAAATTATTTACTTTTTTTCAAAGAGAAGCAGCATAGGTGTAATAATTTCAAATAGAATAACAATCGATATCAGCACGTATTACGAATGTCAAAATTATTTTAAGAGAATTTCTCTTAATCATTATTTATTCATTATTCGAACAAAATAATCAAATGTTTTTGAATGACCTTGAGTGAAAATTCATTTTATATTGAAAATTATATAAAATTTCTATTTAACCTGATTTTCATTTTTGTACATCAATAAATAAAATGTCTAGTGTGATTTAAATAAAAAAAAAAAAAAAAAAAAAAAAAAAATTATAAAAAGATAATTAAAAAGTAAATTGCTAGGCTACGATAATTAAAGGAAACTTTACAAAAAAGGCTTACATGCATAAAAAATCGATACCTAATTATTGCTACGATCGATAAATACAAGTAAACTGACTAAAAAATAATATAATTCTAAAGAGTCCAAAGTTCCAATGCGTCTTGATATAATGGCTTATCGAGAAAAGCAGTGCAAGAAAGCAAATGTCAAGACGTGTATTTACACTTTGTCTACAAGCGCCACGAAGTCTTAACGTCTTATCGCAGAAAAACATGTGCGATTTAAGCAAACGATATACGGCAGAGTAATTTCTTTCTGTTAACATGAAATTAAAAGGCATTACGATAGCAGCCCTCTAGAGACACTAGTATTTTCTCGCATTAATCGATACAAGAAAGCTTTTGGAACGTGAGTTGTGGGGACGTAGAAGTGGGGCTCGAGAGAGACGTCCGGCAGTATTTCCTTGGAAAGGATCGACTCGGACCCTTCCCGTATAATTCCTTAAAGATATTCCCATGGGCATTTCCGGTGGCTTCCGCGCCAAATGTCCTTGGCGTTTCTTGTACGTTACGCACCGATGACGAAACTGCTTATCTACTTTTCGTTAGTTACGCAAAGTGGAGTTCGACCTTTTCGTTTACTAAATCCTACGAATGCGAGTACTTATGGCATGCTTAGTTCCTCCGTACTTGCCGGCACTCTTCTTCTACGTATACTAGTGGGCCGACTGGCCACTCACTCGTAAACGCAAGACGAAAATTCTCATCAATATTGCAAACTCCGAGGATTTTACTTTTTCTCAACAGTCTCATATCTATGCTCATTATTATTTTATTTATTTGTTTATTTATATTTTGGTTTATTTTATTTCACTATTTCGAGTATTAGGCGAGAATAAAGAATAAGATGATATAAGGCTTGGGAATGTCTAAAATATGGATGCTCTCTTACAAATATATATACCTGTATAAGTATGAATTTAATTTTTATCAACTATTTATAAATTGATAAACATTATCGTTTGCACGGGCTACTAGCTCGTATTAAATAATCTCCAGGATCAATAATTCATTTCAATACAAATTTACATATTTATGTAAATGTTGCATACTACATTTAAATGACTAATACTTATACGAATCAATGCGACGCATTGAAATTGGTAAGCTCATTAATGAGATAATTAGATTTAAAATTAATTTCATCGTGAAAAGGAGTTCGAGGCTTTCCGTCCTCTTGCATATTACACTTCGTTTCTACCGCGTTTCTCACAATTTCTCTCGTTTGGAAGAATTACTCGGGCGCAGTTACTCTCTGTCCTCTCGATTTCTCCAAGACG